AAAGCCACTCATGAAGTACAGAGTTACAACACCAACATATAAACTTTTCATATAATTCAATTTTATTTACAGGGCACCAAAATCATAACACGGTGCTTAAATATAGCACTGAAGTTTAAACAGGAACAGTCAAAAAGAAAAACACATAAATAAAGCTACAACACTTCAACTGTTCCAGTGAAGTGAGAGTGGAGGCCTGGGTGTAGACACTCCCTGTATGATGCTGAAGGATTACACACTGCTCCCCACAACTATGTTACAGACATGAGCAAAACAAACTGAACCACACATGCTGCCGATGGTTCAGCCCAGCCACTCTGCACATGACATAGCTGCAGTGAGCTGATCCGGGTCTAATGCACAACAGACAACTGAAAGGAGAGTCCTTTAAAGGGCCTGGCGGCAGTACAAGTGCTCAGAGAAAACAATGACAAATGTGTGACAACGCTCCATTTCTCATGCACCCGGGTTTGTTCAGGCTGAGACGGTACCCCGGCATCGTCCTGTGTGTAGTTTGAACCTGTCACAAAAGCACTCGATGTGCAATTGTTCTTAGGTGACGGAGAACTATAAGAACCATCGACTGTCGTGATGCCATCGGGGGCTGTGACTGCAACAGGTCCACTCTGTGGAGAGCAGTTCCCATGAACGACTGAGAGGAGCTGGTGAACATCCAATGTAACGGGTGTGAAGTGGATTTGGTGGGAAAACATTTTTCTTAGTTATGTACATGTGAACTGTAATTTCATCTGACAGCAGGACTGGGATGCTCTGTAACATCACCAGTGGTGAACCTCCCAACCAGCTGTCTGTGTCTACATGGAGCTTAAACCTGAACGGGAAAATGTGACATGACATGTTTGAGGATTTTTGTTTGTTTTTTTAATCCAAGTCTAAAATATATAGTGAATTAAAAATGTAAAAACTCCAGTAAAGTAAAAAGTGGACAATGGCTGTGTCAACAACAAATAAAGAACTGACAGACTGAGATTTGTTTACCTTCCTGTTACATGTTAATGGAGCTGTGACACTATGAGTGCAGCGGCCTAAAACCTCTGTCCCCCTCTGTAGGGACCAGGGCCCGTATCCCTAAAGAATCTTTGTGCAAAAAGTGGCTCCTAGCGGCCAAATTCTAAGAAAATTCTCAGAGTCATGACGTTTTCTTAGAATTTCCCCTAAAAGTGACACGACAATCCCAGTTAATATAAAAGCTATTCCTCAAGATTCCTAGCGCTTAAAAGGGCTCCTAAGGCGAGATCTGCTAAGAGCAGGGAAGAGGACTTTTAGTGGCTTAGGAGTTCCCCTAAGCAGCTGCACAAAATGGCCAACAGAAGAGGCAGGAGAGATGTCCTGCAAACACTGGATGACAGGGAATTATTGAGATGCTACAGATTGGATCGTGCAGGAATCATGTTTGTGGTGGATCTCCTTAGAGATGCAATTACTTCACCAACTCGACGCCACAACGCTATTACACCGGAGACGAAAGTAATCACAACCCCGAGGTATTTGGCAACCGGGAAAATGCAACAATGCAGCAGTGATGACTTGGGTCTGCAATCACAGACATTGCTAAAAGCTGAGCCATGTTACCCTCGTTAAGACCACACTGGACTTGTAACGTTGTGATTTCTACTTCATTAAGGACAGCCTCTTGAGATAGGCCATCTTGTTTTCAACGGGGTCCATATGGGAGTGAAAGTACAAAATATGCCAGCTAGGATATTTATATGAGCAAATAAGACACGAATCATTATTTGAACAGGGTGTAATGAGTTTAAGTTTTCACATATTTTAGATTCTAATGGCTATAACCCCTACAGCTTACTATTCATTTTCCAGATATTTTCTTGAATGTGAAATATTATTTACAATTACAGTCAGCATAAGATTAGAGTATATAATATGTTTATTGATTTGAGGGTACATCCTTTGCTCATTATCACCAAAAACTCATTTCCATCAAACTTGTAGGATCAACCAATCACGGCTTTTGAAATGATGACTCATACCTAGCAACGGGGTCAACCACACCTCCTCACTAAGATAGGATTTTCCATCCATTCCTTGCTCAGAGTTCACTGAAAATGTTCTGGAATCACTTCTAAGCTAAAACTCCTGGCAAGGAATTTTTAGGTTAAGTTAGGAGCTCTCTGAGAGGATTCTCAGAATCTTTAGGGATACGGGCCCTGGCCATTATTTTGGGAAAACTAAAAATATTTAAGTCACGTAGCCAATGACCTGTGAATGAAATAATGTTTTATAGCTTCTTATACTCTCACTATACTCTCACTATAAGGCTTTCAGGAGCAAAGTGAAGGAGGAGATGAAAGCAGCACAGCGGGAGGTGAAACGCTGCCTGAGGGAAGCAAAGGACACCTACAGGAGGAAGGTGGAGCAGAAGTTGGAGAGGAACAATATGAGGGAGGTCTGGAATGGTGTGAAAACCATCACAGGCCACAACACCAAGAAAAGCACAGTGGGGGGGACTGTGGAGAAGGCAAACGAACTCAACAACTTCAACAGGTTTGACCAGCCCACAAGCCCCCCACCCTCACCCTCACTACAGAGTCCTCTCCCCACTCTCCTACCTCCCTCGCTTCCCCCCCTTCCTGACACCATGACACCCCCCTCCTCCAATCCCTCTCTCAACAGCAAGACATCTCCCCTCCTCCCAAACATCTCCCAGTGTCGCAGTGGATCAGGTCAGGAGGCAACTGAGGAAGCTTCGCCCCAGAAAGGCAGCAGGCCCAGACAAGGTGTGTCCTAGGACACACCTTGTCTGGGCTAAAGGTGTGTGCTGCTGAACTTGGGGAGCCGCTACAACGAGTCTTCAACCTCAGTCTGCGACTGGGGAGAGTGCACGCCCTATGGAAGACATCCTGCATCGTCCCGGTCCCTAAAAGGAACCGGCCCAATGAGCTGAATGACTTCCGACCGGTGGCACTGACGTCACATCTTATGAAGACTCTAGAGCGGCTCTTCCTCAACCTCCTCCGACCACAGGTACAACATGCCCAGGACCCACTACAGTTTGCATACAAGGCGGGTGTCGGAGTGGAGGATGCCATCCTGTACCTCCTACACAGAGCCCACTCACACCTGGATGGGGGAAAAGGCACGGTCAGGATCCTGTTTCTTGACTTTTCCAGTGCCTTTAATACCATCCGGCCCTGTATGCTTCAGGAAAAACTGAACAGGATGGAGGTGGACCCCTGCCTGGTGGCTTGGATCTCCGACTACCTCACCGACAGACCACAGTACGTCAGGCTGAAGGACATCACGTCTGACACTGTGGTCAGCAGCACAGGAGCACCACAGGGAACTGTGCTGTCCCCTCTTCTCTTCACCCTGTACACCTCTGACTTCTGCTACAACTCTGAATTATGCCACATTCAGAAGTTTGCAGACGACACGGCCATCATGGGGTGTATCTGGGATGATCAGGAAGAGGAGTACAGAAGTCTGGTGAGGAACTTTGTCGCATGGAGTCACACAAACCACCTGCAACTCAACACCTCAAAGACTAAGGAACTGGTTGTGGACTTCGGGAGGTCCAGAGAAGGTCCACTGCCGGTTCAGATAGAGGGGGAGGAGGTGGAGGTGGTCAACAAGTACAAGTACCTCGGGCTGTGGGTGGACAACAAACTGGACTGGTCATGCAACACAGAGCACCTGTATAAAAAAGCCCAAAGCCGACTGTACTTCCTCAGGAGGCTGAGGTCTTTTAACATCTGCAGGAAGCTCCTGAGGATGTTTTACCAGTCGGTGGTTGCTGGAGTACTTTTCTATGCTGTGGTGTGCTGGGGGAGCAGCACAGCAAAGAAGGACTCATCCAGGCTGGAGAAACTGATCAGGAGGGCTAGCTCTGTGGTCGGCATGAAGCTGGACACTCTGGTGACAGTGGCAGAGAAAAGGACACTAAAGAAACTGATGGACATTATGAACAATGCCAGACATCCTCTGCACACGGCCATAAACAACCAGAAGAGTCTGTTCAGTGACAGGTTGCTTCTCCCAAAGACAAGAACTAACAGACTTAAAAACTCCTTTGTCCCACACGCCATCAAACTGTTTAACTCCTCTCTGGAGGGGAGAGGGAGGGGAAACAGGAGGACAAAGGAGGGGGGAAGAACTAAGCTGTAGTGCCTCTGCACCTCACTGTACAATACCTTGTGCAATACTTTTTGTAAATAGTCAACAGTGCAATAGACTCAATACTTGAAATGTGCAATTCACTTGTATTTTTATTTTTTATTCCTATTTATTCTATTTATCCCCTTTGTATATTTTATTTATATTTGTCTCTGTATTTATATATATATGTGTGTGTGTGTGTGTGTGTGTGTGTGTGTGTATATATATATATATATATAACAATTCTGTAACTCTGTAACTTCGGTCGTTGCTGTGCTTTTTGGAAGTCGAATTTCCCAGAGGAACCCACCCGAGGGATTAATAAAGTTCTATCTTATCTTATCTCTTATCTTATACTCACAAAACACACACTTCTAGGAGTGAGACAAACATTTCACCTTTAAAATAAGAATTCTTTTAAAATGCATGTTTTTTTTTGTTGCGGTTTCTTTGTTTTCCTTTTGTTTTGTTTGTCTGTCTCTTTTTTTTCTATGTGGTTGTATTTTTTTTTTGTACCACGTTCAAAATAAAGATTCAATTCATGTAGCAGATGTTGCCCACACTTCAAGTTCTGGGGGTCTAAACGCATTACAGCTGATCCGATGTCTGTGTGGGGAAAGCACACACACTTTCTTTCCTCCTGTTGTTTGCTGTGTGTGGGGTCAGGAAGTGTCAGTTTGTTGTCTCTGACATGAAAATGAAACGTGAGCTGCTCACAGTTTGGACACACGGTCTAACCAGGTGAGACAGTCACAGAGGGCTTTGACACCAACCTTTGTAAGGACTTGGCGCATTAAACGGGTCCCTCGCAGGTCTCTTGTAAGCCTGCAGAAACCTTTGTGAGGACGGTGCGGGTCACTGACCTGTGCGGGGTGCTGATGCGCAGGACGCCGGTGAGCTTTGGCAAAGGTCTGGGCAGATCCAGCTGATTCCCGGACCAGGAAACGTGGCAGTTGCAAAAATACTTCAAATAATTATAAATCCCGGAGGCCACGGCCACCCCGGTGCTGCCTGTGGCGACGACCTTGTTGTTTTTGGTGGACCTGAGCTCGCACACGTCCAGGCTGTCGTTGGAGAGGCTCCCGTTGATCGACACGATGAACTCGGCCGATCTGTTCCCCAGCAGCCGCCTCAGCAGCTCGGTCACCGCTCTGCCCTGCGCTCGGTCGCTGGCTCTCGGTCTGATGTGGTCCAGAGAAGGAAACCTGCAGCGTGCGCTCACACACAGGCTCCAGACGAGCAACAGAGCCAAGCAGCAGCCGCTTCCGCCTGACATTTTGAGCCCTGTCCACGGGAGACACTTTCCCACCGTTGCATAAGTTTAAAAACGAGTTTATTTGTCTATTTGCGGAGAACCCGGAAGCGTCGCTTTACCAAAAGCCTGCTGGCCAATCAGAGAAAGCGTTGCGGCCTCCGTTGACTGTCAGCCAATCGAGTGTTGTTTCCTGAAAGCTTTTTGGCACGTGATCAGTTTGTCACATGACAGTAAACTTAGAGAAGTGTTGTGCGAGTTACTGTTAAACTGTTAAAGCCAGTGTTACCGACGGCACCGACGCTTTAAACACAGCTCAGCAGACTCACAGCGGTCATAGCAGCAAATATACAACAAACATCAAGCACTCAGAAAATCAGTGTAGAAACAGATATGCTGGATAAATAGACAAGTATAGAGATATAGGTGTAAATATAAAAAGAATAGTATGTGTCGTGGTGTACAATGACAGTGGGCATTGAGGTGTTCTTAGTTCTGTTCCAAATGTGTGGATCTGACCCAAGTGGGTGAATTAAAGAGTCTGATAGCAGCAGAAGGAACGACTTCCTGTAACGCTCCCTCAGACAGCCAGGCTGAAGGAACCTGTTGCTGAAACTGCTCTTCAGATTGTCCAGGGAGGATGGGAGTCACTGTCCATGATTACCAGCAGTCAGCAGTCTGTCACCGATCACCTCCTCCAGGGTGGAGAGCTTCACGCCAACAACAGACTCGACCTTCCAGATGAGTTTGTTCAGTCTGTGTCCTTTGCTTTGATGCCTGTACCCCAGCACGCCACAGCAAAGATGATGGGGTGGCTGTAGCTCAGGTGGCAGAGCAGGTCAGCCACTAATCAGAAGGTCGGTGGTTCGATCCCAGGCTGCCTCCTGCCTGCATGCCAAATGTCCTTGGGCAAGAGACTAACCCCATGTTTGCCTACTGGTGGTGGTCAGAGGGCCCGGTGGCGCCAGTGTCCGGCAGCCTCGCCTCTGTCAGTGCGCCCCAGGGTGGCTGTGGCTGCAATGTAGCTGCCATCACCAGTGTGTGACTGGGTGGATGACAGGATGTAGTGTAAAGCGCTTTGGGGTCCTTAGAGACTAGTAAAGCGCTATACAAATGCAGACCATTTACCATTTACCATGGTGCTCTCAACAACAGACTGATGGAACATATATCAGCAGCCTGCTGCACCATGCAGGGAAGAGCAGCGTGTTGTGATTCATGAGCTGAATCATCATTAATGTGTACATGAACACTGAGTTGAACTTTCCATAATGATTAGAAATTTGTTTTGACATGTTTCAATTTATTTTAGTTTTTTAGTTATTTATTTTATCTTATCTCATTTTAATTTTCTTTACTTATGCTTTTAGCATGTACAGCACTTTGTGAACTCTGGTTTTATGTTAAAGTGCTTTATAAATAAAGGTGGTATGGTATGGTATGGTATTAGTCAACACAATAAAACATGCTTCAGCTTTTCATGCAAAACAAAAAAGCAGCATTTTTGAATCAGAGTGCAGCATCAAGGCAGTTAAACGTGCGATACTGATCTGCTCAGCAGAGGCATCACCTGTAATGGTGTAACAGGTGGAGGCCTGACACGTTTCCCCTCATCTTTTCTGACATAGAAATAAATAATCACCAGTTTTGCATTTAGCTAAACAGTGAGCCCAAGGATATTTCAGCAAAATAGTCCACGTCATCAGCTTTTTACTTTTCAGGATGTCTTTGAATTCTCTCTGTAGGTTCATCATTTTCATTTCCATCAGTCATAGCCAGTCTGCATCAGCATGATACAGACATTGAGATCTGATGTATTGTCAACGTGTTCCTTTCATTTTTTTGAGCAGTGTATTTAGAAACTGGGTGTTCTGGAGATCCACATTTATAAACGTGGCTGTTTTAAACCTCTTTCAGCTGAACGTTTTCCTGCCTCTGTTTAGTACATCAGGACTTGGTAGGGTAGCTCAAATAATTCAAAACATATCGACCATAAAGTCCATTACACAGGAAGTAAATGAACCGGCTGGGTCTCAGCGGCTCCAGCACTTTGGGTCAGCTTCTGTTTTAAATGTGTTATTTAAATAAAACAGAGTAATAACAAATGGTCTTTCTATTCAGACAATGTTCATAATTCCTGTTTGAGGTATATTTATTAAACACAACTTCGTGGGCTTAATATAATATCTGAGTGTATGAATATCGTCTAAATGTAATCGACTCAAGTTCAAACACAGCAGAATCATTTCCTTCCACAGAGTAAGGTGATCCATATTTGACCATGATATCTTTCAGAACATGAGCTGCCAGCTAGTGCTGCTTGTTTTTTCAGTAAAGTTAAGCTGGTTGACGTCTTAGCTTGGTGATACTAGGAGGCTAACATATGCTGGTTAGCTTATGAAACAAGCGTAACTTTATCAACCGCCAGCAGGCTAACACTCAGTTACTATCACTGTTCAAAGGTTTGTTATCATCACACAGCCATCAATGATTCTCCAGTGTTGTTTGACCTCAGCTCGTTGTGTACTTAACACAGACACACATGGACAGCTCAACTCTGAAAGAGAAAACAAGGTCAGATTTGAAGTCGTCCATTTAAAAAGAAAGAAGTCGTATGAACTCTGGAGAGGATCAAAATTAACTCACCTTACTTGTGGAGGTGAAAAGAGGGCATGTCAGACAGTCAGGAGTCAATCAGGAGAGGGAGAGAGGTTACAGAGGGAAGGCACAGACGAGTAAATGAATAAGAGTCTTTACTTCGATCACTGTCACCTCAAATATGACTCATACCCCGTAGTTTTGCTTTCTCTCATCATGACTGATGTAACAAAAAGTTTGGGGATAACTCCGACGTGGGGACGAGCACAGCATCTGTCTTACCTGAAAAGACTGATTGTTGTGCAGCCATGACTTTTGATCCCAAAAGCAGGTCGAGCAGCCACAACGTGTCACTATGACAGTAACACAAGTACACACAAACAGCTAACCACACACAAACACTTGTGCAGCTCTGGTCCATATCAGGGAATCTCTTGGTGAACTGAGTCATTTGACTTGTTGTAACTGCTCAGAATCAGTTCAGACTTTTTTTAGTCTCCAAATTTTCTCCAACAAAAGCAAATCTTGTCCGACTGTCCAACAGCAGGAGACGATGGAGGAGCTGCTGTTGTTGCTGACCTCAGTCTGCACAGCTTATGCTCAGCACCAAGGTGAGCGAGCCGGTGACTGAAGGTAACGAGGACACAGGTTCTGACTTTGTACTTTTAGTGCTGCACAAAATAATGAGAGTAAGAATGGACGCTATGACGTTTGAAGAATATTTGTAACAGGTTTTCCTCACTTTACAAGCTACAGTTACCACTTTAGATTTTTATCTACAATTTTTTTGTTTCTTTATTGATTCTAATAAAAAGAAATAATCTCCGTCAGATTCAAACAAACACAAAAAGGACATAATGATGTACTTCAAATGCTGAACATTGACAGTGCAACATAGAAAGCTCATCACAGGTTTAACAGAGAAAATGAACCGTTTGAAGCAAAACATTTAAATCTGAGGGTCGGCAAACAGCAGGCAAAGACATCCTGGCGGCGCTGAACTAACCCTCTGAAGCAGCGGGTAACGTCTAACAGTAGCATTTGTCTGGGTAACATTTCAGTCGTCTGCTGCATCCCAGTGTGCGCCTGAAGTTGGTTACCATGGTCCCGTCGTTACCAAAGTCAGACTCCGCCCCACACACATCACAGATAAACTGAAAATGTGGATTGACACATGTGAGAAAATTCCACAGGAGGCACGCGTGTTTGTTGCTTTGAAGACAGCATTTCTTTTTGAATGGAACTCCACTCGCTACGTGGAACTCAAACGGGATGACAACCATGTGAGTCAATGGAAAGCGCAGCGACCGGAAAATCCTTCAGCATCACTCTGACCCGCTCTCCGAGTATCATTCTGGGTCAAGATCAAGACACTTGCGGTGGAGGCTTCAATGCAAAACAGTCCTTTGTAGGAGACCTGACAGATGTTCACCTCTGGGACAAGGAGACCTCTCTGTGTGATGTCAGCTCTGATATACAGGGTCACTCCTTCACTCCTGGTCAACTGGAAAAACCTGCAGGACCTCATAAATGGCACTGTGTGTGGAACACAGTGACTTTGGTACCCTGTCCTGTTAAGAGCAGTGTTGGTCAAGTTACTTGAAAAAAGTAATCAGTAACTAATTACTGATTACTTCCCCAAAAAGTAATCCCGTTACTTTACTGATTACTTATTTTCAAAAGTAATTACTTAGTTACTTAGTTACTTTTTAAAAACACGATTTACAACCTGAGTAGGTGATAAAGCGATCTTTCAGCCCAATTCTACTTTTTCTACATAATCCATCATACAAAATGTAATCAAATGGAAAAGTCTCTTTTTAAAACTTGTTTTATTAGTTTTAAGCTTTTAACTTTATGCATCAAGCAAAAATTTAATTATATGCAACATTCTCTGACTGGAAGAAATTTGTTTAACATTTAAACCTATTTTCTGCACATTCCAGCACATAATTTTTTTTTGTGTGTGTGTTTACACTCAGTCTTTCAAATAGATGCAAATAAAACACAGCAGAAAATAAATAAAGTCACAGACTCAGCGGTCCTGTTGCTCTATTTTCACTTGTAAAGCAGGAGTGGGGCAGGCGGAGGTTTACCCTGGTGCAGGTGTGCCGCGGTCAGTGGAAGAATCCACGAGTTTCTCTGTGAGTTTCCCATTACGTCGTAGCTACTCGGTGCTTGCTTGGAAGTTTAGGGTTTTTTTCGCTGTAAAAAGAAGTTTTCTTCCCACGCACAGCGGACACTAATGTTTTTGTCACTTTTTATGGAATCAAACTCAAAGTAAGGTCAGTACTTCCACGCTTTTAAACGCTGCACGCCCATACTCTCTCCTGCACTCGATATGTGATCCACTGTTGATCTGCACACAGCTGTTGTCACGAACGTCGCACTCGCTTACGTCACTGTCATGAGACACTCTCGCAAAAAAAAAAATCACGGTTTTAGTAACGCAGTAACGCAGCGTTCCTATGGGAAAGTAACGGTAATCTAATTACCCTTTTTGCATTAGTAATCCCTTACTTTACTCGTTACTTAAAAAAAGTAATCA